TACAAAGCATGAATAGTCCTCACTTTAGATTAGCTCACAAAAATAGTTAACTGACCACTACTAAATGCTTTATAACTACCTGTATTTACTACATTTACTTACACTTTCTAGGTGATCTTATGAATGACTGACAACTCTTAAACAACTGGTTTATAAATAATGCTATACTTCATTTAGAAATTATTAATTGATCATTAACAAAGTATGAAAATACAATCGTTAAACGCATTATAGATATGCTTATAAATCAAGAAAAAAGCATGTATAGCTATATTTATAAACTACATATTAATGTCTATTAATGTTTTATAAATGATGAATTAACGGTTTACTCATGCTTAACTAATGATTAATAGCGTGCAGTTATTATAAAGTGTTACCGAAATATTTGCATGTATATACTTTATATATATATATATATATTTATACAAAATTAATATTATACATAAATATAAATATTTGATATATTAATAACACATTTGTCTTAAATGTATACATGCATATGTGTATAATTATACACACCACACACACATATTATGTAAACACAAACTTTTATTTTGCATGCGATTAATCGTGATTAATCGTTTCACAGCCCTAAAGATAAGATATAACAAATATATAAAAGTAACTGACTATATTGTTCATCTTGTCCTGTTCAATATGGCTATAGCAGAGGGGATGAAAGATTTCTTGCAGATGTGTTTGCGGGCCAGTGGTACCTTAAAATAACACAGTCTCATCCCAAAAAGTCATATAACTGACGTTTTGGGACGTATTTTGACCATACGTCAATATCCGCCTTTTTAGGGCCCCCTTAAACGTCGGTAGATGGCGATCCCGGGCCGTCATTCAACTGACGCTTTACCTTTAACGTCAGTTAGGTGACGGGTTAGGTTTAGGTCTGGGGTAGAGTTAGGATCCCATAACCTCATCTACCGACGTTTAAGGGGGCCCTAAAAAGGCGAATATTGACGTATGGTCAAAAGACGTCCCAAAACGTCAGTTATATGACGTCTTGGGATGAGACCGGGTTGCTTAAAACGCCTGCCTGATGGCGGCACACGAGACAGGAGTAGTGAACTTCATCATTGCTAACAGTTCGAGTTTTACTTTTCAAAATAGTAGTCACTATTCATACAATTCTTCTCATGAACACAAGGTCACCAGGAAAATGCAAAATGATAATTAGTACGGCAGGTGGATGATAAGTGTGGCACTAGAACAGGGAACACTGCAGAACTATATGACGAATAACGAGGCACTTCTGCAGAAACACAAAACACAGATCTGTGGGCAAGTGGCTCTTTTAATGCATGCGACTCAACGGTGTGCATGATAAATGCATGTTCAACTTCACACCTATTGCCTCTTTCTGTTTTGTCGCAGCTGAATATCATCACAAATCACTATTTAACCGTGTTGAGTACCTCATCTCCACCACCCAAAACACCCTAGCAACAAGTCAAAACACCATAGCAACAACAGCAAGACAGTGACTGCTCTATAAACAGAGAGGAAGGACTTCATGTCAAACATCGGTAATGATACTCTTGACACGTTCTTCTTATCAAAAGCATAATAAAAGCTGTATTTCTGTAACCTTGAGCAGGAGTGTAGGTCCACATGGGTCTGAGATTCAGTGAAAGTGTCGACAATGCAAAAACTCCCTCTTTATTCTGTCCATTATTCACCTTTACAATAACACTTACTCAGCACTTTAGTCAAATTGAGCACTACATCACACACCGTTCCTCCCTGCGTCACTGTGTAATCACGCTACACACCAAAACACTTCCTCGGGGGAACCTTTAGCTTGGCGCGATATTTAATGACAGACAAACCGAATCAACAAACAGCAGCTCGACACGGAAAATAAAATGCGAGCTGCATGGATACATGTCTGAACATGTTTGCATGTTTAGTTCAGCCACTGGCAACCTTCTCAGAATAAAAGTCAATTTTGTGCACAAAGTCGGAAGAATAAAACAAATTCTAAAGTCAAATAATAAACTGCACCTAGGACGGTAAAATAAACAATTAAACATTTAATTAAAATAAATAGGCTTATCCCAACACATCCATAATGTCATGTACGTTGTTTGAAGCAGAAAATTCGGTGACACTTTATAATAACTGCACGCTATTAATCATTAGTTAAGCATGAGTAAACAGTTAATTCATCATTTATAAAACATTAATAGACATTAATAAGCAGTTTATAAATATAGCTATACATGTTTTTTTCTTGATTTATACGCATGTCTACAATGCGTTTAATAATTGTATTTTCATACTTTGTTAATGATCAATTAATAATTTCTAAATGAAGTATAGCATTATTTACAAACCAGTTGTTTAAGAGTTGTCAGTCATTCATAAGATGACGTAGAAAGTGTAAGTAAATGTAGTAAATACAGGTGGTTATAACGCATTTAGTAGTGGTTAGTTAACTATTTTTGTGAGCTAATCTAAAGTGAGGACTATTCATGCTTTGTAAAGCATTTATAAAGGTGATTTAAAGACTCGTCAATCTTCTAAACAGTAAAATGTAACAAACACAACACAGTGATACAGAACATAGAAATATTTAACAGCCTTTAAAAATGCTTTACAAGGCATGACTAGTCCTCACTTTAGATGAGCTCACGAACATAGTTAACTGACCACTACTAAATGCTTTATAACTACCCAAATTAACCCTTAATTACAGCATTAATACATGTTAATAAAGCATTTATTAACACATTAAGTAACCATCACTATATGTCTGAATGATAAGATGTATGAATGTACATTTAAATAGTTTATTAATCATTTACTTACTCGCTCTAAGTAATCTTACGAACCATTGACAACTCTCAAATAACTGGTTCATAAAAAATGCAATTCTTCATTTAGAAATGATAAATTGATCATTAATAAAGGATGAAAATACATTTATTAAACAAATTATAGATATGCTTTTAAATCAAGAAGAAAGCATTTATAGCTGTATTTATAAACTGCTTATTAATGCTTTATGAATGATGAATTAATGGTTTACTCATACTTAACTAATTATTATTAGCGTGTAGTTATTATAAAGTGTTGCCAAAAATTCTGTATTGAATTAAAAATTATTTACATCAATTTATTTATTAATTAATAATTTTTCATATTAGAAATGGACGGTCAAGTCTAGTGTATTAATGGGATGCAGTATCAATGCATAAAAATGATATGTAAAATACTATGTAAAAAATTCGTATGCAACTTAACGTGTTTGCATATTTAATTCAGCGAGTGGTCTCAGTTATCTTCTCAGATTTTTTAATTATGCATTCTAAACAACTTGTGCACAATTTAAACGCGCAAATAATAAAATGCAACTAACTGTACTGTATAATTGTGCAAAGTTGAATAGTAAAATAAATAAATATATAAAAATCAATGCATACAAAAAAAAAAAAAATGCTGCACTGTGCACTGCTGAAATGGTAAAAATAGCATGGCAGTGTTTTATTCTGAACACATGCATTGGATAATTTGTACTACAACACAGTACAAGGTCAACTTTTGTCAACCAAACGACAGCAGCGCCACCAGTGTTCGCTTCCCTCACATTATCCCTCACATTACCTCTGATCTGGGGTTAATAATCCGCTCTGCTTCGGTCTAGTCCACACTTAGACTCGTTTTGCACACGGCCTGTGGGGGCACATGTAAAGCCAATGAGAGCTGCTGCCATCCCATATTTCTTAGTTATGGGCAGCAATGTTATTTGAGAGCAACCTGCAGCCTTTTTCCAGAGGTAATAACCCTCACAGTGGAGCCGGTGTTTCTGCATGGAGTGAGAGGACATCACCCACGGTCTGCCCTCGTCTCTTTCTCCAGCAGACTCAATAGCACTGTGTGCGTTAATGAGAGCGGAGAGCTACGCGACTCCATTCAGCTGTTCACAGCACAACCAGGGCTGTGATACTGATGTAAACTGCATTTCTAAAAGTGTCAGCATGATTTATTCATTCCGCTTTTACAGTATTTAACGCAGCATTTAAAAACCCAAGCAGCATCTTGGGCTGGAAATCAGAATGTTAAAGGAGCCCTAGAATTTATTTTGGCATAGTTAAATAGTTCAGTACATGGACATGACATACAGTGAGTCTCAAACGCCATTGTTTTATCCTTATTAATCAATTCTCGTTTTTGAAAAACAGGCGAATCTCCACATAATACCGACTGTGACGAAACATTCGGGATCATTAATATGTACGACTCCAAACATTTGCATATGTCGCATATTGCATAGCCGAAGCACGGCCGTTGATCAGTGTTCGGATGTACACATGAACACAAAAGTATTTTTTAGTTCCTTCATGCGAGCCTCTGGAGAAACAATGCGTTAATTTTGTCTTCTGTGGAAATAACAAACATTTCACTTAACTTGATGTGTAACTCAAGCTGATGTGTAATTGTTGTTCAAGTTCAGACAGGTAAGTTAATCTTTCTCTCAAAATCGTTCAATACCGTTTATGCATCAGTAAGTCGAGCCAGTGTCTAAAATATCAACTTCACATCGTTTATTTTAGTAGGATTAAAAAAAATAATAATTAAATTATATACAGAAAGCGATCAACAAACAATCTTTCCACACAGGGCGAGTTTATCTGGACACTTGCCAAACTCGTTATGAATTTAATGACGCACGTTACACTGCACAACGAAGCTCTTACTGTATTTACATGATCGTGTCTGCATTGGTGAAAGCATTAGTGCAGTAACTGCGTTACAATTCTAATAATACACTCTAAAAAATGCTGGGTTATTTAATCAACCCAACCGCTGGGTTATGAAATGTTTGACCCATTATGGGTTATTTATATGGATTTTGACTCAACACATGAGTTGGAAAAAATAACCCATCTACCCAACATACACCGTTGACCCAGCACGTGGGTTGTTTGTGCTTCGAACGTCATCACATCGTCACAAGAAGAGTCCACCATACCGGGATCCACCATACACCGAGCGATCTTCAAAGAGAACTTCACTTTTCATCGAGCGAGGGAAATAAACTAAGGTAGAGTACTCTACATGTCATTTCTAATATATAAGACATATATTTTAACAAAGTTATAAGCTGGGTTGGTCGGAAGAGGGTGAGGCAAAGATGACACGTATTGATGCAATGGCCGTGAAGTGTTTATTTATAGAAATTGCGGTAAACGGTCTTAGTGTCCGGAATACAGTGAGTCTACTTTAACGTTACCTTTCTAAAGTAATATCTTTATGTTGTCGAGGCTAGTTGGTTGGTTTGTCTGGCTTGTTTGGCTAGCGTTAGCCATTATCATTGAAGCACTGGCTATTTTGAGCGCGCTAATTTTTCCCTGGAGCATTTAATGTGAACACAGTGTTAGACTGATTAAAGTATGTATAAACAGTGAGATAACCTGATATGCCAGACTAAATGCATGTATGTGCATTTATTTAAGTAATATGGTAACCCGCGATAGATAAGAAAACATTTCTTATATAAAATGGCGGCCTGGCTAGCAGGCTAACTTACATTATTTTAAGTTAACCGGATATAAATGAGCGCGCTTTTTGCCCTCAAATCTTTTAATGTGAAATGCGAAGGTATAACACAGTGTAAGACTTATTAAAGTATGTAAAAACAGTGAGATAACCTGATATGCCAGACTAAATGCATGCATGTGCATTTATTTAAGTGGGAGCTCATTTATTTAATATGGTGACCCGCGATAGATAACACAGTGTTAGACTTATTAAAGTATGTAAAAACATTGAAGTAACATAAAATGTCTGAATGTAAAATACATGTAATTTGAATTGTAGGCTATAGGGAGAGAGGGTCTCTCTATTTTGGCTGTTATCTTCACATTGGATTACATTCTGCTGCTAGTCTGCATTGCATTTGCATGGTGACATCTGAATAGTTAATACAATAGTAATTGTATATTTCCTTAACCTCATTTTGTGTTTGTTTCAGATCAATGGTCAGCTTTGTCATTGACACAACAGAGTGGCAGCTGACAGACCTTGTTGAAAGATTTCAAGGTAAGAAATATTTGTTTTCACATCCACAGCATATCAAGTCTGCATTGCTACTCAAGCCCTTTTCAGACATTAATTCTTATGAAATATAATTTTCTCTTTTTTTTTTTCAATAGCTTCCATGTAATGTGTCAAAGTGACTCCAATAGATGAATAGGGCACATGTCTTTTGTAGACTTTCAGTGATTTATTCTATTTTGTAATAACAAATGATGGAATATGCATGTTTATCTTCCATTTAATTACCTATATATTTTAGTTTTGTACTCCTCAGTTGTAAAAACAGATTTCTTTGTGTTTTGTATTTTTTTGTCTTTTAGAGGAGGGGACTGATGAGGAGAGTTTTCTTCTTTTAGAAGAGGCAACCATCAACAGTTGATCCCAAGAGCTGGCCCTGGGCTGAAGTTCTTCAAAAAATTAGAGGACTTGTAAGATCAACATTAGAGGCACACACAGTTATTATTTCTAAATATTAAAAGGAATAGTTTACTTTGAAATTAATTTTCGATATGTTTTAGCTTACTTCAAGGGCATGTAGATGTAGGTGTCTTTGTTTCCACAGTATTTTCAATTTTGTTTTGTTTTTTTCGGTTAAACCGTTGTTGTCTATCAGTCATACACTGGAGGTTTAGGGGGTCCTCCCTCGGTTCACCTCAAAGAGCATGCACAGAGAAGTCAAAATTAAACATGATTTAATGACTCGTAAATGTAAGTACACATCGATGGCCTAAGACAATAAACGAGCGGTTTGTGTGAAAAAACGAACAGTATTTATATAGTTTTTTACCTCGTGTAACTCAGCCATTGGCAACTGATCTGACGGCAGAGGCGTTTCAGTCTGTGTATGCGCCGGAAGTGATCACTTGCGTCTGTACGTCACTCATTGTTTACACAGAGTTTTGGAAGTTTTACCTTTCACTGTGAAGATCTAAACATATTTATATATACAGGAAATCGCAATGGAAGAAGATTTCGATATATCTAAATGTTTAGTGAAAGGTTAAACTCCCGAAATCTCTCTGTAAACAATGAGTGACGTATACGCGCAAGCGATCACTTCTGGCGCATGCACAGACTGAAGCGCCCCTGCCGTCAGATCAGTTGCCAATGGCTGAGTTACACGAGGTAAAAACGATATAAATACTGTTCGTTTTCTCACACAAACCGCTCGTTTCGTGCCTTAGGCCATCGATGTGTACTTACATTTATGAGTCATTAAATCATGTTTAATTTGGACTTCTCTGTGCATGCTCTTTGACATTAACTGGGGGAGGACCCCCTAAACCTCCATTATATGACTGATTGACAACAATGGTTTGACCGAAAGATATCAAAATTGAAAATACTGTGGAAACAAAGACACCTACATCTTGGATGCCCTTGAGGTAAGATAAAACATATCAAAAATTAAATTCAAAGTGAACTATCCCTTTAATAGTTTCTTTGGGAAGATACCAGAATACTTGCTTGCAAGTAGAGCTAATGGCTCCCGTTGACTGTTGGCCTGTTAAATGTTCAGCCAGTTCATTCATAATTGAATGTTTTCCTACTTCAGTGATATTAACTGCAGTTCCACTAATATTGTTGATATTAAAGTAATAAAATAATTTTTCAAAGATTCCATTGTTGTTTTGTTTTTGTATTGTTTAAGTGTTTATTGCATAATCTATGCATACATCTAGCATGTATTCTGTTCTAGGTTTGTAGTGTAACAGTTTTATAGCTATGAGTAGTCTATTGCCTTTTTTTTCTTTAATTGTACTGTAATGTGCTAGAATTAGTCTGGCATATGGGTTAATTTGACCCAGCATTTGGGTACACTATATAACAAATATGTAGTTGAATCAACCCAGAATTGTAATTAATTTGACCCAGCATTTGGGTACGCTATATAACAAATTTGTAGTTAAATCAACCCAGAATTTTATTTAATTTGACCCAGCATTTGAGTAGAAATGAACAACTCATCTGTTGGGTTAAAAATGACCGACCCATCTTGCTGGGTCAAATTAACTACTGCTGGGCTGGTGCAATATTGATCCAGCAGTTGGGTTATACAACAAACCAAGTTGGGTTATTTTTAACCCATCATTTTTTAGAGTGTATCTTCACCCTCGTGATCGATCTGTCATCTGCTTGCTCAATGCTCATCACAGCAACATTTTATGTGATGGGAATAGATATAAATACTTCAAAAACATCTCACGATTCGTTAATATCGATAGCTGTAATAGTAAAAACGTATAATAGCTGTAGTAAAATTATTCGAGAGAGTTTCTCATGTAATACATAGCTATTTCATATGCAAGCATGTCAGCCAATCACAGCAGAGGCCGGTTACACACAGCAGACACGCCCCTTTAAACAGAGCGTTCAAAGCAGAGGCTAAAATCAGGCTAGAAAAAATGCCATTTATTACTAAATTTTGACTATTTTTGATATAAAAACATACTAACATTATGAGGGCAACCCAGGAAACATTATAAAATAATTAAACATTAATTAAACATAAAAACATTCTAGGGCACCTTTCAAGTGTCTATATGTAAAATTCAGAAGCCCTTGTTATTAGCGACACCGGTGGCCGGAAAATGAACTGCAGCCAGCAGCTTACACATGTAAGAGCCTGAACGTGATTCAAGGCCTCAATAAACTCATGGCGAAATTCTTTTTCTTGCTGCACATAGGGCTGTGGTAAACGATTATTCAGCCCGTTCTCATCCTTTAGCGTCACATAGAACGCTATATGACAAAACGGTGCAAAACTACGTACATGGCACCCTTTATCGTTAATATAACACGCGCCGTCATCTTTAGAATATAGTCTTTGAACTTCCGGTTCTGTATATTTCTTCCTATGGCATCGCTGTCAAGGAGTAATTAGCTGGTGAAGTGGATTAATTTATTGTAGAGTTAACAAAAGTTATCATGAGCATTGTAATGTTTATCATAAGCATTGTAAAGAAGATGTCTTAACAAATGTCGAACGGGCAGTGTTGTAGTCGAGACCACCTCACTCGAGTCCGAGTCGACACCGAGTCCATAGAGAGTCGAGTCCGAGTCAAGACTGAGTCCATAGAGAGTCGAGTCCGAGTCGAGTCCGAGACCAGAGACGGTCGAGTCCAAGCCGAGACCGAGACCAGTGAGGGTTGATTACCTAATTTACTTTTATTTACTTAGAAAAATCCTTTTTTTTTTTTTTTTTTTACTGAATTTACTTAGAGTTTAAAAAATATGATCAATTTAGGGTAAAAAGGCCACATAGTAGGTGGTGTTAAAAGTAATTTTATTAAAATTTGTCATGTTGCGCACTAGAAAATCACCAATCACTGGGCGTGTCAATCAATTTAAAGAAATATTTTATTAACATACATTAATAATCATGAAAAATATTTTTAATTGAACTCGAGTGGACTCGGGAATAATTCCGAGTCCTAAAAAAAAAAGTTCGAGTACGAGTCAATTCCGAGTCCAAATGGACACGAGTCCATGACAAGACCGAGACCATTAAAATATGGTCTCGAGACCGAGTCCGAGACGAGTCAGAGTCTCGAGTACTACAACACTGCGAACAGGAATTTTTTTACGAGCAGTTCATTCATACCTATGCAAGATCGCTGTGAAAATACAGACCAGAAGTCAAAAGACAACGAGAGCAACGCTGAAAAGGGGCGGGGCTACATACGGTCTATATTAACGTTAACGGGTGCCATGTGCGTAGTATAGCGCCGTTTTGTCATAAACCGTTCTATATGACGCTAAAGGATGAGAATGTGTTGGATTATTAGCTAAACGATTAGTTGGGCGATTATTTTATCGATTAGTCGACTAATCTAACGACTAATCGGACGACTAATATAAATAATATTTTTCTGCTGCTCGACTAATAAAAAAAACATAATGTATCTCAAATAAATACTAGCGTACTGAATCATGATACTATACAGTGGCTAACGTTAGTCTAATGTTATGTATTTGAACACCGCCATTATAACTCTACAACCGCCAAAACCGTGTTAAAATATTTTTTACAAACATTTTTTATCACAGAGAATGTTTAAATACTAATATCAGCTGAGGAGGGAAACGGAGGCGGAGTTAGTGTTGCGATCTGCTGGAGATGATTCGGGTGAGGTCTGTGCACCTTTACCGATCAGAGCGGCAAAAATGACGCATTGGGTGCGCAAGACCGGGAAGACCCCATTTCACTTGGCTTTGATGTGCACGCCTATTTTTGTAACAGCACGTGCGGTGGCGCATCCGAGGATGAACGACTTCAAGCCGAATCTGCCCGAGCTTGTACGTCTCACCACAACGCCACACAGTTTGCGGATCTAAATTGCAAAGTTTTTTTTTGTTAAGGGTTTGTTTACTGTGTGTGATTCATTTCGTGGAAAGCACATTCACTTCTAGTTGTTTTCGTCCTCTATTATGCAATGTTTCGGTCTCCCACGTGTGCAGTGTTGGGCAAGTTACTTTTAAAAAGTAATTAGTTACAGTTACTAGTTACTTCTTCCAAAAAGTAACTAAATTAGTAACTCAGTTACAAATTTTAAAAGTAACTAGTTACTTAAGAAAGTAACTATTGCATTACTTTCAAGTAAAATTAAATTTTAAATGCTTAAATGTGTTATTTATAACGCCGTTATTCCCATCACTGCACGTGTGTGTGGCAGGCTGTACCACCGGGAACGTGCAAAAAACAAATAAATAAAGAAGTGTCGACGCAAAAATATGACGTTGACGTAATTTTGACGTCGAAGCGTCGACATCATCGACAGGCCTCTACAGCACTAGCTGCACGCTTTCCTCTCAATATCAAAATAAACAGCAATAATAACGGCGGTGAGAAAACAGCAGTTAAAAAAGCATTTGATCATAGCGATGTGGATAAGTTTGCACCAGCTCTACAATTCAACGGCATTATGTCAACAGATAAGTTCTGATATTTTGATTATAAAGTATATTTGAGACTATAGTGTGTATAGATTTGACTATGTGAGACTATAGTTTGAATTAATCCCTTTCCTTTGTATAACACATTATAGTACAGAATGGGGCTGTTGGAACGAATTCCGAAATTCGAATATAATTCGAATATTAAAAAAAAATCAATACTATTCGAATGCTAAAGTTACTATTCGAATATTGCTTTTATAAATATTTAAAAATATATACATATAGCTACTTCCGAAGTGACCAGGTGTAAACGGCCCCTTAGATCGCATTCTTATCAACAATAGGAGAGCGCGGGACTAGCTTTCGCGTGGCACATTCGCATTCTGTTGCTTTCGGTGACGTGCACTTCATTACATCTGTATATAGCGCGGGAATTGAAGATCGGATTTATATCTGTTTTGCAAAAACACATTTATGTGACCAGGTGTAAATGGAATCGTTTTGATAAATCAGAGCCATCCGATTTGAGAAAACGCATGAAGTGGCCAGGTGTAAACAGCCCCTAAATGTTTATTGTAGTAATGTTAGATGTCCCTCTAGTGGGTCGCACGTGTAACAACAACCACAGGCTATAGTGGCATTGACGATCATAGGAATGTGTAATGTCATATATATTAATAATGGAATAAATTTGAGCATTTAATATTCGAATATTATTCGAATATTACATAAAATAAGGAATGGAATTCGAATAGTATTATAGAGGAAGATTGACAGCCCTAGTACAGAACGGCTCTTTCGGCATTATCCAGGACATTGTATAAGCATTCGTTTCATGTGTCATAGAATAGAAGGTTTTTGAGAGGGTGTGTAAGTGTCACATTTCACAATACTGTAAACTGGGTATTTAATTGTGCATTAACTCTGTTTTTACATTTATATTACTTTGCCTAATGCTACTTATACATAACAATTAAAAAAAAAATCTAATATCAGTTGATGATAATGATACCCTAAGTGATGTGATGAAATGACACACTTCAGCTTTAATATATATATATATAAAAAATTAAATAAATAAAAACTGATTCCGATATTTTTAAATAATTTTAAAAAAGAATAAAAAAAAAAGCCTGGAAGTCTTTCATTCATGTCACAAACGTGGAGGACGACTGTTTAATCTCTATACCGCATTAACTTTGCAAACATCAACATAAACTGGGTATTTAATTGTGCATTAACTCTGTTTTTACATTTATATTACTTTGCCTATTGCTACTTATACATAACAATTAAAAAAAAAAAAAATCTAATATCAGTTGATGATAATGATACCCTAAGTGATGTGATGAAATGACGCACTTCAGCTTTAATATATATATAAAAAATTAAATAAATAAAAACTGATTCTGATACTTCCAAATAATTTTAAAAAAGAATAAAAAAAAAAGCCTGGAAGTCTTTCATTCATGTCACAAACGTGGAGGACGACTGTTTAATCTCTATACCGCATTAACTTTGCAAACATCAAAACACAGTAAACCCCAAAAAACATTCAAACAAACAAACGAACAGAAATCCCAGGAGTCTTCAGAGCTCTGAACAAGTGTGACGGATGAAAGTGAGACCTTTCAGAGTGTAAACGAGTACCTAGAGGCAATACAACTTTCAGAGAAAACAAATCCACATCTGCATCAAGTGTCACCGCAAAAAACAACAATATTCACTTGAGATGGAAGTGTGTGCGCCACAGGTTCCCCTTCACTTTGAATTGCTTGGTCACAGCAGTGCATTTAGCATTTATCAAAAAAACAGCCTCTTCTTCAGGAGATTTACTCCAGTCTCAAAGCAAAATAAACCTATTTCTGCCTCGAGCCAAATGAACCAAACATTCACTGACGTGAAACTAACAGCAGCGAACAGGACAGAGAACATGTTCACAGAGGAATACTGCAATATATACCTACATGAGAAAGAGACTCGCTATTATTGGCATTCAAGCAGTGATTTTGCAATCCAGTTTTGTGTAAAAAAATATCTTATCCTTGGGAGTCTAACTAGAAAGTTTACAATATATGTACATACTAGTGATAGACAGACATGACAATATTTGTCCATTTTGAGATTATTGGCACTGGTTGAAAACCATTTCAGAAGCCTTACATCCTCTTTTAGACAGCCTTGTCAATGGGAAATAAACAATTATATGCTATAAAATAAGCATTCATTTTAACAATTGAAGAGTTCAGATGCAAAAGCCTCTAAATGCCATTTGAAATTTTCTTCTTGAACGATGATTTTTATCAAACTTGTATATTTAAGTTCAGTAATTTCACTTAAATAACAATTAATAGGTTATCATCATTGCCATTTAAGTGAAATCACTGAACTTAAATATACAACTTTGATAAAAATCATCATTCAAGAAGAAAATTTCAAATGGCATTTAGAGGCTTTTGCATCTGAACTCTTCAATTTCAACTTCTTCCATTGAAAAATGCATATCTAAAATGCATAACTAGTAACTGCAAACATAAGTCGTGTCAATTTGAACTAAATTGTAACATAAAGTATAACAAAACACTAGGCTTCGTGTTTCATTTTGATAGATCAGATATTCAAATCAGGGCAGTTTTCCCCCTGGGGCTCATCATTTGCGTCTTTTAGCAAATCAGTATTCTCTGCATTTCCATGGCTAATTAATCTCTGTGTTTACGTAATCAAGCCTAACGCATCTATTTGGTGAGGAAGAAAATGGAAAGCGGAACGTTTTGCGAGTTCACATAAAAGCGTAATTTGCTTACCTGTCAACTATCCCACACATGTCCATCTGTAGATCGCTAAAATTCCCAAACAACATCTGCTGCACTTTGATAAGATCCACTAAACCAGTGTCTGTTCGGATGAGGCGCATGCACCCTTGGAAAACACTGAATGGGTTTCTGCAGACAATGCCGTCTTCCGTGTTCGGGCACCCTGCGGACAAAAACACTCCATATTTCACCTGATGCCAAATATACACAAAGTAACTTAAGCCATTGCATTGTTATAGTATATTAATGTGCAAATGTGTGTGCATTTGAGTAGGAGAGAGAGCAGGCAAAAAAAAAAAAACAAAAAAAAAAACCCTGTTTATTTATTTTTGTCATTAAAATTAAGTTGAACGTTTGCCTGTTGCTGCCTCCTTGCTCCCTGAACTTCAACATTTCTACATTACTATATTTGAAGAGTTTGGTTCCAAAACGCTATAAATCCATTTTGATGAATTTGAGTAAAACTGTGTTTTCTTTAGCAAGAAAATGGGAAGATGAAAACCACTATTTTCGGTTTCAAATTTTCACATAGCATTTGTAGGTTATAATAACAATAAAAAATGAAATCCAGGTTTTGATTTCCAAAGATTTATTATAAAAACAGATCGTTTTCCCCCCAAAAATGCAATAAATCCAATATTTTTTTTTTTCAAAATGCAATTAATCAAAATAAAATTTTATACACATTGAATTTATTGTGCATACTATAAATCCATTGCTTTAATATAACAATATTCGGTAACACTTTAAGGGTTCATGTCATGAATTATCATGAATTCATGAATAAATGAATTATGCATTAATTCATATTAATATCATCAGGAACTATCAACGTTTTTTTTTTTTTTAACAGTTCAATGTTTTTCATTCATGACTTCATGGATGAACAAAACCTTAATTAAAACATTAACTAAGACGAGCACATCATCATGAATTATGATTTATTAAGCATGATCTAACGTTATGCATATACATCGCTGTTGTCAACCTTGGGATGTCGCCGCTGAACTTTTTTGACGGCGATCAGCTGTAAACTGGCTTGGTCCTGCTCGGTTTTCATTGACTTTGAATAAAACAACTGAAAGTTTTCCAAAAGATCCTCTGGGGGTCAGTGTGTCAGCGTGACAGAAGTTTGATGCTGTCGTGTGAGAACAAGCAACAGCCGGCATTTCCTCCTCCCAAATCCATCTTCTTCCTCACGTAAATGATTCGATTTCGATGTCACGTTTACCCATGCAGGATGCCTTACCCTCCGCAGGTTCACCAATGCTGTCAAAATTATTCATTTTTTTGTTTGTTTGTTGATCGAAAGGACAAAATAGAGAAAACCTAGGAAGCCGGGTTAGTTAAAGCGCTGCCGTTACTGTTTACATTGCGTGGAATGGTGCGTTGCGATTGGTTTAGCGGATATGTGGCATTTCGCAGAAAAGGGAGACTGGCGTTTGTCGCGGTTTGGAAAGAAAGGGAGAAAACATTACATAATAACACGGCGGATATCCCATTTTACGTAAAATTAAACATTGTTTTGTATCTGGTCGGTATTGAAAAGTCCGATTTTTGCAGTAACTCATTTTTTTTTAAAATGGCGTTTATCGCGTTTTGGAACCAAACTCTTCATTTATTTCCTTGGTTAAATTTGGTGATACAGTGTGTGTGTGTAAAAGGAATAGGCTTGGACTTGTGCTGATAATCCAATGCACAGGACAATAGAGACAGCAGAATAGAAATAGTCATTATTTTAGACCAATATGCTTGCACTCGGTCATTGACTAGTTGACAGAGATACCCAAAAATATTTCCCATTGCATTACTAGACATTATTTTCAACATTATACATAGTAGTTTAATATAGTACTGACACTAAACCTCTGTAAACTTGATTTTTTTCACACATAGCCTACTAATTTTCATTTTGGGTGAACTATACACAATTGTAGCACTTTTGTATTGCGATATATTGTGACCCGGTATATTGTTAAACCCCTACTATCTACATAACATGTGGTTTGACTGCGATATAAGACGTGCTCTACTGCGGCTGAGGGAAAAACATTGCAGACGAAAGAGACTGCCATGCATGTGTTACACTCTCTCCAGAGTCTGAGCTAAAGGCAATTAAGCCAGCAGCCTCCAGGAGCCGAGAGCCACCCCCCACCCCCAAACGCTTGAAAGGTAAACGAATGTGCTTTTCTCAGCGGAAGGTGTGTGTTGAGTGACACGGCGGATTGATTAACGTGAAGGATTGGGTTTGTGTAGAGGGAAATTACTCTGAGCTAGCTTGTTGCTTTGTGTTAGCAGAAGGCGATGGATGGCTAAAGGATGCTCCTACCGCCTAAGAATATCTGTCCGTCAGGAGTGACGGGGAAGGAAGTGGTCGCTGCAGAGCTGTCGGTTTGGTCCAGGGTGACTGTGAGACGCCCTCGACGAACGACTATCTCCACCGAGTGCCACTGACCATCATTTAAATTGGCTCCTGTAGAAAAACAACCAGCATTGAGAATCAGGCAAAAAACAACAGGCACTCAGCGCTGCATTAGGGAGAATATTTTTATATAAACCAAAAAAAGGACAGCTTTCAGCATTAGACTTCTAGTATATACCGAATGGGATACTAGCAAAGTACTGGGCCCGTTTCAGCAGAATGCAAAACTGTGAACAGCGTGTACTGTATGTATATTTTGTATGCATGAAATATCTGTACGAAATCTGCTAAAAACTAGAGCACACTCATTGAATAGTGAGAAAATACTGTATCCAACAATGCAATGCTCATCTTTATTTTACTTCCAGTGTGTCAATTGAACCTGAAAGCAACTCTTTCTTAATGCAATATTTAATTGGCCAAAATCTGAGACATTTTTACACAAAATTGGATTATTTATGCATTTATACTTTCTTTTCCCAGTATGTTGCACAGTATGCAAATTTTGTGCATGCACCGAATATATTCAAGCAACTATTCATCGAAGGTGCAAAACCTTATTCAAAGAGAGTTAGCAGCCATTTACACAACCATTTTCAGACAAAAGCGGAAAACGTCTCAGGTTACGGCTGTAACCGTGGTTCCCTGAGAAAGGGAACGAGACGATGCGTCAATGACGCTTTGGGAACGCTCCCAGCATAAATGCATCTGAAGCATCTATGTCAACTAATCCAATGGAAGGAATGAACGTCATGGGAGGGTGACGTCATGACCAGGAAGTGATAAAAGAGCATCCGGTGCAAACCGGAATTAGCTTCAAAAATTGCAGAAGCAAGCCGCTCATACATATCGTCTCGTTCCCTTTCTCAGGGAACTATGGTTACAGTCGTAACCTGAGACGTTCTCTTTCGAGGGAACTCGCAATGCGTCAACGCTGCTTTGGGAATGAGAATATCCAAATCGCCAGACTTTCAGTGTCAGCTTGTGTTGTCACACTGCACCAAGCACCTGGGACCCTGGGGCAGGATCCAGGTCCTAGCTGTAAAACCTCACGAATGTGAGCGGTGAAGACCAGCCCACCGTATCCCAAACGTCTTGAAGAGAACTCCAGATAATAAAGTTTAGAAGCCATACTCGTAGTGGATGGAGCCCTGACAACCAAATGGTTGGCCAGACTGCACAACTAGCAAGAAGAATAGTCTCGACTATCTATTTGCTCAATAGGTTGGTTTTCTCGACAGAGAAGTCCAATGAATATAAGTGTCCAGCTTTTCCTGGTCTGATAAATGGGGGAGGACAGAAATCTCCAGCACAATAGGCCGCGGAATAATGGAACATATACATGTTTGGGGTAAGATTGCCTTGGCCATCCCGGGTGGGATGGCCTCAAGGCAGGTGGGAACTGAAAGGGCCCGAAGATCTCGACCTTTAGAGGGACGAAATAGCTAGCAGAAAATAGTCTTAAAAGAAAGGAACTTCTCTGAAACCAAATCTAAGGGCTCGAAGGGAGCCCCAGATAGGCCTTCTAGAACTATTGCAAGGTCCAAATACCCCAGCAGGTCAGCCTGATATGCTTGTAGTACAGCTAAAATGTGCAAGCAGGCTCCTGCTAGACCCACTGCCGTAAATACTTTTCCCACTAGATTAAAAATAGGGTTACACTTTATTTCGATAGTCACTTTAGACATTCTACTAACTATAAGTAACTTTTCAACTACATGTCAACTAAGTGTCATTAGAGTATTAGTAGACTGTCAGTAGACTGTTAGGTTAGGGTTAGGTGTTAGGGTTTAGGTTAGGAGAACAAGTTGACTTGTAGTTGCTAAGTTACTTACAGTCAGTTGAATGTCTGTTGGGGGACCAACAAAATAAAGTGTTAGCAGATATTAAGCTAACAGTCTACTAATACTCTAATGATAGTTAGTTGACATGTAGCGGCAAAGTTACTAATAGTAAGTTGAATGTCTAAAGTGGACTATCAAAATAAAGTGTTACCAAAAATAGTTTTCTTCAATGTTTTAGTGAGGGAAGCCGACGCCTTCAAGGACGATACTAAACTGGGAGACAGATTTCGCAAGTGTCTGTTCTACCTGGGGTTTTGCCCCATTGCCATACTCTCTTAACCCCCTAATATCTGATTCTACATGAACTTGGGGGCTAAAAGATGAGACGAGTAAGGCTTTCCCTATGATCTAAACAGCTCGCTGTGCAGATTGGGAAAAAATGGAAAGCCCCATGATGGAGGTGACAAAATAGAGGGAAGGAAGCTCGTTTCATTTATTTTTAGGACGAGCGTCCCCTTATTTCTGCTGGCCAATAAATATTTAATTCTATAGCCTTAGTAAACACCTCCAAAAGCTCTTTTATATATATATATATATACACTCACCGGCCACTTTATTAGGTACCCCATGCTAGTAACGGGTTGGACCCCTTTTTGCCTTCAGAACTGCCTCAATTCTTCGTGGCATAGATTCAACAAGGTGCTGGAAGCATTCCTCAGGGAGTTTCCATATTGACATGATGGCATCACACAGTTGCCGCAGATTTGTTGGCTGCACATCCATGATGCGAATCTCCCGTTCCACCACATCCCAAAGATGCTCTATTGGATTGAGATCTGGTGACTGTGGAGGCCATTTGAGTACAGCGAACTCATTGTCATATTCAAGAAACCAGTCTGAGATGATTCCAGCTTTATGACATGGCGCATTATCCTGCTGAAAGTAGCCATCAGAAGTTGGGTACATTGTGGTCATAAAGGGATGGACATGGTCAGCAACAATACTCAGGTAGGCTGTGGCGTTGCAACGATGCTCAATTGGTACCAAGGGGCCCAAAGAGTGCCAAGAAAATATTCCCCACACCATGACACCACCACCACCAGCCTGAACCGTTGATACAAGGCAGGATGGATCCATGCTTTCATGTTGTAGACGCCAAATTCTGACCCTAACATCCGAATGTCGCAGCAGAAATCGAGACTCATCAGACCAGGCAACGTTTTTCCAATCTTCTATTGTCCAATTACGATGACCTTGTGCAAATTGTAGCCTCAGTTTCCTGTTCTTAGCTGAAAGGAGTGGCACCCGGTGTGGTCTTCTGCTGCTGTAGCCCATCTGCCTCAAAGTTCGACGTACTGTGCGTTCAGAGATGCTCTTCTGCCCACCTTGGTTGTAACGGGTGGTTATTTGAGTCACTGTTGCCCTTCTATCAGCTCGAACCAGTCTGGCCATTCTCCTCTGACCTCTGGCATCAACAAGGCATTTCCGCCCACAGAACTGCCGCTCACTGGATGTTTTTTCTTTTTCGGACCATTCTCGGTAAACCCTAGAGATGGTTGTGCGTGAAAATCCCAGTAGATTAGCAGTTTCTGAAATACTCAGACCAGCCCTTCTGGCACCAACAATCATGCCACGTTCAAAGTCACTCAAATCACCTTTCTTCCCCATACTGATGCTCGGTTTGAACTGCAGGAGATTGTCTTGACCATGTCTACATGCCTAAATGCACTGAGTTGCCGCCATGTGATTGGCTGCTTAGAAATTAAGTGTTAACGCGCAGTTGGACAGGTGTACCTAATAAAGTGGCCGGTGAGTGTATATATATATATATATATATATATATTTTTATTTTTATTTTCTCCTACGCTGGGGAAAGAGATGGCAAATCCACTTCCCATGATTGTGTCACTTTCAATGCCCAGCCCATCTACTTCCTCGGAGGTGGTGTCACTCATCCTCGAAAAGTGACAGGCGGAGCAGAGCAAGCAAAGCAAAAGCTTGGCAATCAGCCCACTCGAAGGCTGACACCGCATGCTCTTCTCCCAAACAAATCACACAAAGCTCGTTTGTGTCCCCACTCGAGCAAGGAGAACACAGAGTTTGTGCAATTGTTTTGTTTCCATAGTTGACTAGTTGACATAGATGCTTCAGATGCATTCACGCTGGGAGCGTTCCCAAAGCGCCGTTGACGCATCGCGAGTTCCCTCGAAAGGGAACTTTTTATGTGTTTTGGCAGTTCATTTAAAAAGACAAAGGCATGTTAGGTTTTTGAAAATGATAGTGTTATAATCTCCATGTAAACTACAAAAACATGAATTTGTGAAAACAGTGATGTCACGCACATGCTTATTACATGTTCAGTCTATGTGCGTGTAGTGTTTTTTTTTTTTTTTACAAAGTGACATCGCCAACTACTGGCCTGGAAGCAGAATACTGCGTTTTTAGTCTTTTTTTCTGTGTGAACAGGGATTGTTTTGACAACGCTGTCATCTGTATGCGAAACCTTTTCAGTTTTAGTACATCGCAGTCATGTTAGATACATCCCACAATGCAATGTGCTCAATTTTACTATCTATTACCAGGGTTATTAGTGTTAACTGAAACTAAAACCAGCTGAAATAAAATAAACATTAGCTGAAATAAAATAACACATAAAATTAACGTATTTTATCAGACTGCCAAGAGACATTTATTTATTTATTTATTTTTATTTAAAAAAATGAATATTTATTTCTGAGATGATGCCTGGCTACCCAAGAGGTCACATATATCAATATATCATGCTACTGAAATGTTTGTGCTTGCATACTGCATACTATTTTGACTAAATAGCAGGTGTAAATCACTATTCATGCATTCATTTGGTTTAAATGAATAAAACTAGTTTTAGCCAAAACACTCAAAACCTTTCCTGATGTAAATGAAGATTTTTAAACATATTGCATTTTTTGGATTTTCTCATATAAACATGTTTCTAATTCCACATACTGCCAATCTCAGAGCAGCACATGCCATTGATGTTTACTTTGTGCTAACCTTGACAAACAAGAGATGTGTTTCTCTTTTACTATCAAATAAACAAATGATATCTGAGCTCAACCTGCAGTGATGTCCGTCATGATGCGCCCGGTCTTATGGATCTGTAGTCGTGCTCTCGCCTCGCTCAGATAAAGCCACAGCGTTCCTGCATTATGCTGCAGGTCAAAGGTCATCAGCAGGCCCGCTCTGTTCCACGTTCTGAACTGCAGACTGACCGACGCACTTTCTCCACTGGAGACCCACGGCAAACCGAGGAAACTTCCAGGACTGGCAAACGTCACTGGCACATCAATGGATTCGGTGCACGTAAAGGTGACATTCCCCTATGAAAGCACAAAATGTTGTAGCATTTTTTTTATACGAGCTACATTTGTGAGAGTAAAGTACCACGACCATGACGTCTGCCTCATAATTTATGCATTTGCTTTCCTGGCTGTTCCTGATATCACTATCACGGTCATTAGGACAATGAATTAAAGGGTTGGTAATTGGTTTAACCCCCAAATTCCCAAGGCAGTGGTTGTAAAAAAACATGCGGAGGAGATGAACGACGTACCGTATAATGGAGGAGAACATGGTACGGGTCACAGAAATGCAAAGCTCTCTTTATGGAAAAATTAGGCAGCTGACAATTGACAATTGCTAAGAAGCAAAAAAAAAAAAAAACCCTAAAAAAAAAAAGCGTAACTGTATGAACACATGGTTTCTGCTTACCGCAATGGCCACTTGGTTCTCTTTGGCTCGATTAATCACGCTGATATCGTTGTAAAGCACATTTTCCAAGCAGCCATGGAAGTTTCTTCTTGAATGGGATTTCTGGAGACCAGCCAATGACGCACCACCAAAACTGATCTTGTGAAAGAAAGACAGATTCGTGTCAGAAATCACACAGATTAATGGAGTGTTCCTCATTTAACATAAACTCTATTGACATACGCAAAGCTCATCTTTATTTTATTTACAGTGTGTCAAAGAAACCTGAAAGCAACTCTCTCTTGATGCAATGTTTGATTGGCTTCAAGTTTTAAAACTGTTTCAATCATTTCAACTCATCCATGAGTCCAAAAAAAACACATAAAAAAATTTGCATTTACAGTAATGAAATGCAGAAATGTTAATATTAAAAAAGTTTAAAAAATATAGCTCCAAGATTTAAGTGTTAACATAAGGTTAGTGTGGGAAAATATCAAAAAAAAAAGTCAAGTTTGTGTCAAGTTATTCCCAAATAAAAATATAAATTATTTTAATATATATATATATATATATATATATATATATTAAAATAATATATATTTTTATAAAATAATAATATAATTTTATAATATATATATATATATATGTTTATTTTTATTTGGGAATAACTTGACACTAACTTGACATGTTTTTTTTGACATTTTCTCACACTAACCTTATGTTAACACTTAAGTCTTGGAGCTATATTTTTAAACTTTTTTAATATTAACATTTATGCGTTTCATTTCTGTAAATGCAATTTTTTATGTGTTTTTATGTGTGTTTTATATATATATATATATGCAAATGAATATATTATGAGAATAATAATAATTTACATTATTATTATTATTATTATTATTATTATTATCAATAGTAATAATAATTTATTTATTTATTTATTTTTTATTTCTTATGTAACTGTTATGGCTATATTCATTTATTTTAATGTTTATATATATATATATATATATATGAAGAGTTCAGATGCAAAAGAAATTACTGAACTTAAATATACAAGTTTGATAAAAATCATCATTAAAGAAGAAATTTTCAAATGGCATTTAGAGGCTTTTGCATCTGAACTCTTCATATATATATATATATTTTTTATTTCTTATGTGCCTTTTTATGATCCCCATTTTTTTCAATCAATTATATGTAAAGCATTTTGAAGTACTATTGTGTATGAAATGTGCAATAAATAACCTTGCATTGCCTTGAGCATGATCTGAACATGATGCAACAGTAGTTTACTGTAATATAAGATATGTGTTGTAATGGATATAAACTAGCAGTGTATAAGGTGAATAAAGTGAAAGCTCTTACTAAACGAATTACACATGGACATTGTAGTTCATTTATGTTGTATGTATAATTCATGTGTGTTTTGTGAGCAAGTTAAAATGCCACGAGCAGCTCTGTAAGTTACTGATGGCGCGAGAGGTCGTGAAAGGCTCACCTCGGTTATCTCAGAGTGACTCGAGTACTCGGGGAGCTGTAACTGCTGGGTGTTTTTGTCAACGGTGAAGTTAACTAGTCCTCGGACCCGCTCGATGGTGACGTGGTGCCAGTGCTGGTCGTCCAGCAGACTGCCGAGTGACACGGGCGGGTGAACATCCCCCAACGAACCCCTGCCTGAACCAAACACAGGACCGCCTGTTGGTTAGGACGATTTGTTGATGGTAAAGAGTTTGGTTAAACCTTTAACGTCTTTCAGCAGAAACTGACGTTAGAAAAAACGCAATGACCATTTCTATTTCTGTCATGTGACAACAATGCAGCTGTTTGAAACATTTGTTGTTTTACATAGACAGTTAAAATAGTAAATTTAATAAATAGTAAATTCATAAAATAGTACATTTTTATACATTATAAGTAGTATACAGTACATGTGGCAAGCAGTTTGCAGAACGTCAGATTTTGCAAAGTTAAACATGTTCCTGTGTCAACATATTTTGTTCATCATGGAACAACATTCCAGTTCGAAAATGTATTCCTACCCCTAAACCTAACCTTACCTATTAGTTATCCCTAAAATCAGAGGTGAATAACACTGATGCAGAAGCACCTAACATTTTTTGTAAGCCTCAACGTGACGTAAACTGTGAACTTTCCCCTCCAACATGATTGGTTGATTTGAATGTGAATAAAATGAAAAAGAAATATATAGCATGTTATATATTTTGATATATACACTCACCTAAAGGATTATTAGGAACACCTGTTCAATTTCTCATTAATGCAATTATCTAATCAACCAATCACATGGCAGTTGCTTCGATGCATTTAGGGGTGTGGTCCTGGTCAAGACAATCTCCTGAACTCCAAACTGAATGTCAGAATGGGAAAGAAAGGTGATTTAAGCAGTTTTGAGCGTGGCATGGTTGTTGGTGTCTGAGTATTTCACAATCTGCTCAGTTACTGGGATTTTCACGCACAACCATTTCTAGGGTTTACAAAGAATGGTGTGAAAAGGGAAAAACATCCAGTATGGGGCAGTCCTGTGGGCCAAAATGCCTTGTTGATGCGAGAGGTCAGAGGAGAATGGGCCGACTGATTCAAGCTGATAGAAGAGCAACTTTGACTGAAATAACCACTCGTTACAACCGAGGTATGCAGCAAAGCATTTGTGAAGAAGACACAACACACACAACCTTGAGGCGGATGGGCTACAACAGCAGAAGACCCCACCGGGTACCACTCATCTCCACTACAAATAGGAAAAAGAGGCGACAATTTGCAAGAGCTCACCAAAATTGGACAGTTGAAGACTGGAAAAATGTCGCCTGGTCTGATGAGTCTCGATTTCAGATGGTAGAGTCAGAATTTGGCGTAAACAGAATGAGAACATGGATCCATCATGCCTTGTTCCCACTGTGCAGGCTGGTGGTGGTGGTGTAATGGTGTGGGGGATGTTTTCTTGGCTCACTTTAGGCCCCTTAGTGCCAATTGGGCATCGTTTAAATGCCACGGCCTACCTGAGCATTGTTTCTGACCATGTCCATCTCTTTATGGCCACCATGTCCCCATTCTCTGATGGCTACTTCCAGCAGGATAATGCATCATGTCACAAAGCTCCAATCATTTCAAATTGGTTTCTTGAACATGTCAATGAGTTGACTGTACTAAAATGGCCGCCACAGTCACCAGATCTCAACCCAATAGATCATCTTTGGGATGTGGTGGAACGGGAGCTTCGTGTCCTGGATGTGCATCCCACAAATCTCCATCAACTGCAAGATGCTATCCTATCAATATGAGCCAACATTTCTAAAGAATGCTTTCAGCACCTTGTTGAATCAATGCCACGAAGAATTAAGGCAGTTCTGAAGGCGAAAGGGGGTCATATATATATATATACAGTATATATATATACTATTGCAAATATATCAGAATTTTTCATTTTTGTTAAAGTTGAAGAACTAACGCAAACTAAAATACTAATACTAATGCTAGAGACAATATAAAAATAAAACCTAATTCATACTATATAAGTATAACAGAGACACTAAAATAACACAGACAGTGAAATATATGCCTGTAGGAAACTTTCATTAGGAAGGTGTCACAGAATGACAGCGCAGCAACAAAGAAATATTACACTAAAATAGCATTTTCTTGTAAAATGTACTCCAATAACCTTTGTTAAATGTACAACTTTGAAGAGAAACATTTCTCCTTGTTGCCATGTCTGGTTGAAAAGGAAAGAGAATCAAAGTGAGGCGAATGGTACTTTAATAATCCAAACAAGACTTAAGGCAAAAAAAAAAAACTCTAAATATTAACAAACTATAATAGTATATCAGTGACACTAAAATAACACATACTCACAGACACTACGGAAAACTTTCTTTACAAACGTGCCACAGAAGGACAGCAGAGGAGCTACAGAACCTGCATGTTCTCCCTTCAATGTTTTACATTACACAACACATCTTTCAATTATTCATCAGAGTTACAGTGACGTGCCGCTGGTCAGTTACCGTCAGAATATAAACAAGCTCTGCTTTGTTTTTATCCACATGCGAGGACGGCTGTATGCTCTGATGTCATTTAACATTTAGTGTTTCGCTGCTCAATATTTCATGATCTTTGTTCCTTTTAGAAAGCATGCGGGACGGCAGATCTGCTGCTCTCAGCCTTGACCTCTCCTGTTCGCTCTTACGACAGTGATACTCATATTTGAGTTTGAAGAGCGGCTCTAATTAACGCCACGGGCGCATGGAATATTAAAACATGACAACACTTTTTCAATCTGTCATCATCTGACATTGAAAATTTGAGAAACGCCTGTCCTGTGAAAGCCTGAAAAAAGTGAGCCTGAATTTTTGACATTTTTTGCCTGAGGCTTTGACTTTGGACATCAAATAGTGACCTAACAAAGAACAAAAATTGTAAAAACATCACCTATTTTGCCCTTTTTCAAAGTCTTGATTTTGTCTTGACCTATACTAGAATAAGTTTTCATGAATGTCCAAAAAACAAAAGATTTCTCCAACAATTCTCCAACAAATATCTATATTCAGGGTTGTCAGATGGATGATGGAACTATGAAGTATTGGTCAATGCCATCAGAACATTGTACATAAATCCTTACAAAGTTTGGGGCAAAACATGAAGCACTGGCGCACAACACAAACAGACATTTTGATGAATGCAAACTACCAGCAAAATAAAATAGTTTGGGATATGCGGCATAAATCTTCATGTCACAGCTCGTTTGCAGATGTATTACTCGGCACAGACAGCAGCGAGTGTTTGCCAGCGACTAACATCTGTCTCTGCATCAAAAAACGAAACAAAAAAAACAACATCATCGCATAAAAACCCTGTTCAGCACGTCTGACTCTTTCTGATTATCAGACCTTTGGCACAGTTTGTCTTTCGATATGCAGCATTTCAGTCCATCGGTGCTACCCCACTTTATAATAACTGCACGCTAATCATTAGTTAAGCATGAGTAAACAGTTAATACATCATTTATAAAACATTAATAGACATTAATATACAGTTTATAAATATGGCTATACATACTTTTTTTCTTGATTTATAAGCATATCTATAATGCGTTTAATAATTATTTTCATACTTTGTTAATGATCAATTAATAATTTCTAAATGAAGTGTAGCATTATTTACAAACCAGTTGTTTAAGAGTTGTCAGTCATTTATAAGTTCACTTAGAAAGTGTAAGTAAATGTAGTAAATACAGGTAGTTATAAAGTATTTAGTAGTGGTCAGTTAACTATTTTTGTGAGCTAATCTAAAGTGAGGACTATTCTTGCTTTGTAAAGCATTTATAAAGGTGATTTAAAGACTCGTCAATCTTCTAAACAGTAAAATGTAACAAACACAACACAGTGATACAGAACATAGAAATATTTAACAGCCTTTAAAAAATGCTTTACAAGGCATGACTAGTCCTCACTTTAGATGAGCTCACGAACATAGTTAACTGACCACTACTAAATGCTTTATAACTACCCAAATTAACCCTTAATTACAGCATTAATACATGTTAATAAAGCATTTATTAACACATTAAGTAACCATCACTATATGTCTGAATAATAAGATGTATGAATGTACATTTAAATAGTTTATTAATCATTTACTCGCTCTAAGTAATTGTATGAACCACTGAAAACTCTTAAATAACTGGTTTATAAAAAATGCAATTCTTCATTTAGAAATGATAAATTGATCATTAATAAAGGATGAAAATACAATTATTAAACAAATTATAGATATGCTTTTAAATCAAGAAGAAAGCATTTATAGCTGTATTTATGAACTGCTTATTAATGTCTATTAATGCTTTATGAATGATGAATTAATGGTTTACTCATGCTTAACTAATGATTATTAGCGTGTAGTTATTATAAAGTGTTACTTTAGGATTTCGATTGGGACGTCAGAACATTTCAAGGACAATGGAGACGAAAAGAATCCACTATGTTTCCGAAACAACCCTCTGAAAATCTTTCAAATATATAATGCTGCAAACTTTAGCTAACCAAGTCAACAGACAACATATAAATCTCAACTTGCAGACTAAAAAGCACACTAGCTTGCTGAGATGTGATCGCTGCTACCTACTGTGCTGTCATATTCACATTCACAAATGCCAGTCAAACGTAAATGGAAAATCCAATAAGTACGTTTAATCGTCAAACCAGTGTCAGTCCGAGACGTCTGGGGGCCACAAGCAAACTATTAAGGAGCCAGTGCCAGTGTGTTCATAAAAAACACACACAAATGTTTCACTGTCAAGAAATGAAATAAACAATTTAGCCTGCTAAAAATAATAGCCTACAATACAGAAATTGAATTGAAAAATCAAACTGCATAATCTTTACAGTATTAATTTATGATACATTGATTCTTAAAGTTATTCAGTGAAGAGCAGTGAATGATTCTCTCAATTTCTTCAGTTGTTTGATTAAAGGAGTAGTTCACTTTTAAAAAAAAAAAAATTGCTGATAATTTACTCAACTCCATGTCATCCAAGATGTCCATGTTCTTCTTTCTTCAGTTGAAAAGAAATTAAGGTTTTTGATGAAAACATTCCAGGATCGCCTTGCTCTGTTCTGTGATGGACTAATACTATTTACTAATACTGACAAAAAAAAAAT